GAGAACCCGCCCCCCCCCCCCCCCGCGATTGTGGCCTCGACAAAGAGGCGGGTCTCGAGCTCCCGGGGCTTCCGTGGCGCCCCGCGGCCGCCACCCTCCAGCTAGCGCGGCGGCGCTTCTGGAAGCTTCGGGCAGGGGCGGGCCGCTCACCTCTCGCTGCTGCGGCCTCCGCGGCTGTGCAGACTGATGAGCGGCATGGTGCGACTGGGGTGAACGGTGACGCTGGGTTTATTCCCTTCCTTCTCTCTGGCGAAACAGTGGCTGTTGAGGATCCGCTGCAGGGAGGATTTCACCATCCGGCCGCTGGGGTCCGAAACCAGGAAACCTCCGCTGCGCCTCTCCGCGTCGCCGCCGCTGCTCGCCGTTCGCAAAATGGCGTCTCCGCCGCCCGCTTTTATAGGCGCCGCGGAAAGGCCACGCCCCCTACGCCGCCGGGAACGCGGCCGCGCGAGGGGGCGGGGCCTCCGGGAAACAAGGCACGCACGCCCCTCTCGGCGTCTGATTGGCGAACGGCGAGAGAGAGGGTGAGATCACGCCGAGGATTGGGCTAAAAGCTTAGGGTCCCGCCCCCACCCGCTGGCGTCCCTCTGCGGGCGCGCGGAGGGGGCGGGGCCGCCTTGGCGCCGGGAACCCGACGCGCGCGCCCGCCCCGCCCCACCCCCACATTCGGATCGGGGCCGGGTGGTGGCTTCGCGCTGGGTCCGTTTTCGGCGTGTCTCGCCGTGGCCCAGTCTCATCTGTGGTCCCATCGCCGTCACGAGGGTCCCTTCCCCCAGCGGGGCCCCCTCCCCCTACCTCTCGGGGCGGGGAAGGGGTCCTAGGACCGCCACCCCCCCAATAGGTCAAAATTATTTTCCGTCATTACCTGCGAATGATGGGTCATAATGATGGCTCTCTGGATTCGGTCTCTCACGTTTTAAAACAACTTACAATTCAAAAGAATTTTCAATGTTAATGACATTCAAATTTAGTAAAATATTTTTGTCTAAAATTTGGACGTTTTAACAAACAAAATATTACTCTTTGCAGATAAAGTCAGCTATTTCGTGTGTGGACTAAAATCCGCCCCCCCCCCCCCCCCC